AACTTTTTGAACCAAGGAACTAAAATATGAATCCAACTGATCCATGAATTAAACACAATCCTTACATAAAAGGCGGACGAATGGACTCGTAACATAATAGGTACAATCTTTAGAAAGAATTTTCTCTAGGGTTTCATTTCTTTATCGGTCCCTCGATAAGAGACCCCCAAGGATGTATTGTGGGAACCAGCTTTACTGTTACCAATTTATATTTACAGTTGATTTATTATACGTCATATTTCACAATAAACGTTGGTTCTTGTTATCGATCAGCAAATATAAGTTTGTGAATATAACCAGCATGTATGCACGTGCGAACAGACAATGGCGCTGGCGTTGTGTTGCCAAGGGGGTCCTTCAGTGACCTGATAAGTATTTGGATTTATTGGGGTTCGATATTATGAATGAAACCCCTTCATTTCAATGTGTGCATTTGTGTATATGCTATTTACCTTATTTGTTTTGTTTACCCGTTTGAAATTTGTTCGTATTCGGCCTATTTGTGATACTATGTACTCCTGTCTCCCTAGCTGTTTAGTGGGTAGCCAATATGAGCCTTCACCCAGCAAATTTATTTCGCTTCCTCCACTTATATCGGTCTTTTCATACATGTTCGTTCATTCTATGTACTCCCAGCCTGGTCTTTGTTAAGGTATTACTTAGTCTGGTTGAGAATTGAGATATTTTATGCCCTGGTCGACCTTTTCCCGCATTTCTACGTTCCTCGTCTCGTCTGCCGTGTTGAAGCATTTTTTTACTGTTTAAAATAAAAAGAAATCGCATGCAGCTAAATTTGGGCTGTACGGAGGATGAGGTAACATTTGTACCCCCGAGGTTGTCAAATAGTTGATGGTTCTAGCAATTGTGAGAGCGGGCGCGTTATCTTAGTGAAAAAGTATGCCACAGACGTAGCTCCTGGGGCGTTCGCTATTCAACTCCCCGAAAGCTTGAGGCAGACAAACTTCGCTATATCATTCACTAGTAACTGTTCTATGGTCTTCGTGTAGTATCGGAATTTCTGCTACTAATCCACTGCCTCGAAAACACATCGCTATAATTTTTTTATCAACTCGCCGACCGCGAAAAACTTTTGTGGGCAACTCCTCCTCTTCAAACACCCATTGCGTGGATTGACGATAGTTGTAAGGATGTAGGCTACGTTTGGCAAAGTTCTTCCTTCGAACTTTTCTAGCATAAATTAGCCCCAATACGATGGGATTTTTGCTCTTCGGTGAGACAATGAGGTACCAGTCGCGATTCTTAACTTTAAGATGTTCATGCAGGGTGGTGAAAACTGCCTGTGATCCATTCTTCAGTTCTGACTGTAACTCCTGAGTTTAAATGTGTCTAGTCTCCCGCAATGGACACTCTACCCTGATGACGTTTTCATGAGTTACTGCAGTTGGTGGTCGGCCGGGTCTGGGTTCTTCGTTTAGATTCTCTTGACCACGTTAAGATTCTCAAAACTAGTAAGTAACTGTAATGCAGGAGCAGACTCCCCAAAAGTAGCTTGTAAGATGCCTTGAAGGTTAACCCTCATTTATAATCATAGAAATTCATAGCACGAAAAGCTTTGGGAAAAGCAGAGAGACGTCTATTGTTGCAAACAAAAGAAGAGTGATATATAATTTTTGAAAAAGAGCTATACGTAGGTGGTCAATGATTTTCACCAAGGAAATGTTTCCTAAGACAGTTTCTTGTATCTTCTATGGTTTCGGATTTCCCCATACTATCCCATTTACAAAAAACACTCTGTATAGGTATATATTTTTGTTACATTGAGAAAAAAAACGGATTTCAGTCAAGTCGATTTTAAGATTGTTTGCGAATTCTCTATCGAATCAATCACATTATTTTATTATTGTTTTACTTCAAATTGTTGCATAATCATTGCGCCTGTTGCTGTTTAGAAAGTACCTACTGTGCTCATAACAGTTTTTTTTAATAAATAATAATAATCACACGATGTTAAGTAGCGATGTGACCGACAATGGTACGCGTTTGACTAAAAAATGCCTGTTCACTCTGGACTTGAATAGCCCCAAATTGTACTTTTCGGGAAACACAGATAGTAGAGTATTGTGCCAATGGGTTCCGGACCTTCTAGTCGACCGAAAGAGGAACGGTGAGAGTGGAACTAAATTTAAAAGTTACCCTGCGCGCACTCCCCTAAATGTATCCGATAGAAAACTTACAAGCAGGCTACTTTCCTGCGATGGTCGAGACTTTCTAGCCCCGACTCCACATGAGAGTTGTTGTTAATAAGCCAGCTGCTGTGCCACTCAGATCTTCAAATCGCAAAATCCTGACCAATCACCCTGAGACATAAGCTGACAAGTCCTACGCGTCGTAATTTTACCAGCATGGTTGAAACAGTTACGGTGAACTCTAGAACTCTTTCGCAATGAGCTCTACTACTAAACCTAATCAGTAATGAATTGATTTTTTTTAAAGAACTTAACGTTATTATTATTTGGCTCTTATTTAATTAATATTATTTCCGTTATGAATACTCTACTGTGAAAGCTTTATCTAGATTCGATATAACTGACATAGAAGATGGATAGCGTTAAGTAGATAGCTGGTTCGATAACACGCTGTGTTCAGTCAAGTGCCTAATTAACCGCATATTGTTCGTTTTTTTATTATTACCCAACTACGGTCGAACCAAGAAGAAGAGTTGTGATTTGCATGAATCCTGTACGTGGTGCAGATATCGGATAGATAGATATAGACGGTCTGATCCATTGACTTACAATTATATGGACGTCGGGTCCGCGCTAAAAAGTGTCCGAACTTATAGGGTTAAAATCGTATACAGAGCGTCATTCACGCTCTAGTCTTCGTTTGTACGACTGACAGCGAAGCAAGCAAAATTAGACAGTACTGCGATGACATTACAATTTAAATTCAACGTTTTAGCTTTTTCATATTCCTTGACATGTCACTACGTTTAAATAGGTTGACTTGGGACATTTTTCTCGTGGTTTTTGTATTAGACCCGTCGTCCATTTATTTGTAAGTCAATGGTCTGATCTTATAAATTTAAAAGGAGACTCGCTAAATACGTGACAATTTTCGGTTTTAAAACATTTTTGTATCACATTTGAATGACTTAGATAAATATAGGATTATGTTGTGGTAAAAATATTTATGGTTAACATATAGATACATAATAGATATAATTAAATAAGAAAACGTATATCACGCTATAATCTAGCCAGGGTGTTTATTACTATACACTTAAAACTACGAAGTTTTAACAACCACTTATATAAGCATAGATTATGAAGTGGTAAAATAATTTTATTGTTGACGGATAAAGACATACAGAAATATATCATCATAAAATGACGAATAGACATAAAAAATTATAAGAAGCATTTAAATGTACGTCACACATGACTAATAAAACCGGTGCGGTGTGTTTATTATTATAATAAAACCAAGAAGTTGTTAATATTGTTATCTTATAAGCTATTATCGTGTGTGGTTTATTTTAAAGTTCTATCTCCGAAAGTTAAGTAAAATTTATACGTGGATGTCATACATTAATACGTTTTTGTAAAATGTGTCAGCCCTATAGCGGGGAGTAGCCCAGGTGTGCGGGGTCGCTGTCGGCCGGTGACCCTTCGAGTTCAGCGCAGGTCAACGTCCTTGGTGCAAACGGGTGCTATGCAGTTTTGCTCTCTGCTGAAGTTTGGGTACATGATAATATCAATAAAATTGCATTTTGAAAACTGCCTCTGTGGTCAAACGGATTCCGTGCTGGGCGGCTACGCAGAGGTCTCGGATTCTCGGGTCAGTACAAATATTTGTATGGTCTACGTTTATTTCTCTCGTGAGTTTGGGTGAAATATGTAGTTGTCTGTGCGTGTCCATGGCACCCGCGACACAGGGTGTCATCGGGTCGAAGACATTTACTTTGTGTTCGGCCTTTGTATACGTATCATCCTTTTTTCGAAAATGGACCATTTATATTTGAATCCAGAAATTTATTAATTACATACATAGCGTGATATTCAATGATTTTTTCCCCCGAATTTTGAACTGCAGCTACTTATTTCAAAATCAGATACACTAACTGGTACATATTATTATTATGTTTACGCATTTAAGGTTTTTGCTAATCTGGTTTTATTTATGATTATTTTATAGCGTTATGTGGTGTATGTCTGATCTTTTCGCCGAGTTAAATTTCATCTCAAAGAAATTACATTCATTATTCTACAGTGAAATTATATACGCCCGGATACATAATTCGAGCCACCTCGCATTTTTGTCGTAAAGGGCTAGAATACAAAAATAGTGTATTAATCGAAGATAAAGTTTTTCCCGGTTTTGCAAATTCAAATTCCCAACAAGGACTTATGGAAAAGACGTTTAGTATACTAAAATTGCATAATAGTTTTTGATCAATCAAACATTGTTTAAGCTTCGGGCACTTAACACTGAAAATGCGTGGTGGCTCGAATTATGTGTCCGGAAGTCTATGTAGACGTTCGAAGAGCTGGCAGCAGTTTAATGTTTTAAA